TTGTAATATCCCCCCCCCTTCCAGGTGCCATTGTAATATCCCCCCCCCTTCCAGGTGCCATTGTAATATCCCCCCCCCTTCCAGGTGCCATTGTAATATCCCCCCCCCTTCCAGGTGCCATTGTAATATCCCCCCCCCTTCCAGGTGCCATTGTAATATCCCCCCCCCTTCCAGGTGCCATTGTAATATCCCCCCCCCTTCCAGGTGCCATTGTAATATCCCCCCCCCTTCCAGGTGCCATTGTAATATCCCCCCCCCTTCCAGGTGCCATTGTAATATCCCCCCCCCTTCCAGGTGCCATTGTAATATCCCCCCCCCTTCCAGGTGCCATTGTAATATCCCCCCCCCTTCCAGGTGCCATTGTAATATCCCCCCCCCTTCCAGGTGCCATTGTAATATCCCCCCCCCTTCCAGGTGCCATTGTAATATCCCCCCCCCTTCCAGGTGCCATTGTAATATCCCCCCCCCTTCCAGGTGCCATTGTAATATCCCCCCCCCTTCCAGGTGCCATTGTAATATCCCCCCCCCTTCCAGGTGCCATTGTAATATCCCCCCCCCTTCCAGGTGCCATTGTAATATCCCCCCCCCTTCCAGGTGCCATTGTAATATATCCCCCACTTCCAGGTGCCATTGTAATATATCCCCCTACTGATGTACACCAAGATACACTCATAGATGGCAACGCGCCTGCGCAGAACGCTCCGGCGGCTGATATGGCCGTCATATTGGCCGCCGCTCATTCTGCAGTTTCAGTGTGCGGATTTGGAAACAGCATAAAAATATGTTGCGGTTTTCTACGAGGAAACAAATTAAAATGTTTTTAGTTTTCATTCGTTTCATCAGAAAACAAATATTTTTGTTGAGCACATGTCTACCTTACAATGTGTTGGGAGCCCCACAGTAAAGGTGCCCATACACCTGACGATTATCGTACGATAATCGCGGGTGATCCCGCGATCGTATGATAATCGGCAGATGTATGGGCAGCGTGCGACCGCATTTACTGTACGGTCGCATGTCTTTCCTCTTATGAGCACGCTAGAAAACCTTCGGCGGGTTGGTAGCTCGATCGCAAGACGAAAGCCGCACGGGATGGTGTGTGCAAGCGCACACTGCCCGCTTAGCATTGCAATCATCGGCAAGCCCTCCGCTCAGTGGGGAGGGCTTGCGATGATCGCAAGTGCGATCTGCCTGTCCAAGATAGGTAGTTCGTACCTTACAACCATCGCACAACGAAAGTCGTGCAATGGTTGTAAGGTGTATGGGCATCTTAAGGGTAGTTTTAAAATGTCATTGTTAACCTTGGACTAATAATATACAGCAGGGGTAGCCACAACTCCAGCCCTCAAGCTGTGGTGAAACTACAAATCGCATCAGGTATTGCAATTGACAGCCACAGACATGACGCCCAGAGGCAGAGACAGGGTGGGATTTGTGGTTTCACCACAGCTGGGTGGGGGGGGGGGCAAAGTTTGACTACCCCTGCACAAGTTCCTCACCTGGTCCCAGCAAGTAGCCATAACCTATCGCTACGATAAAGGTTTTGGCCTGGAGTTGCTCTCTTCATATATTTCTATAACGGCTCCATTAGTAGCCGTAGAAAAGCCGGCTTAACACACGTTAGAAAGATTGTCCCAGTCGTACAATAATACGGCCAACACTTACAAAACAGCATGAGCTCCGCTCCACCAGGCTTCACTTCTGAGACAAGCAGATCCTATTTCTGACAAGTGGTTGTATGTGGTGACGCTGGGCATTCCTCTCCTAACTTTGGCTGTCCAACGTTACACTTGTAGGCTGCTGCTGACGGCAGTTTGGACATAGGCCAGCCCATTACAAGATCCCTCATGTCAACTGTTAGCTGGGCAATAGTACAGATCCTTCCAAAATATACTCAGATAGATAGAGAGCCATGCTGGCCATAGGGAATGATATTTTTTATGTAAAACTTTCATTTCAAAAAATGTATTATTTATTATCAAGTGTTTTGTAGAATTTTATTTTATAATTTTTTTAAAATGTATTATTTTGTAAAAATTTTGTTCTGAAAAATGTGTTATTTATTATCATTTATTTTATATAATTTTACTGTATTGTTTTTAAAGCAGAACTCCGTGGAAAATGATTCTTAACCCTTGCAGTGGGGCTACCCCACTGCAAGGGTTAAGTGCACGTTTGTGTCTAGGTTCAAGACTTCCTCTGCAGTGGAGAGGAAGACAGTGGAAAGGGACCAGTCTAAGTAAGCAGGTGAGTATTACTTTGTTATTTTTGAACCTAGAATAAAAACGAGCACTTAACCCTTGCAGCGCGGGGGTAGACCCACTGCAAGGGTTAAGAATAATTTTCCGCGGAGTTCCGCTTTAACAGCAATAGAGTGCAGCCCTACAAAATAAATGATAATAAATAACACGTTTTGCAGAACAAAGTTTTACAAAATAATAAATAAAAAAAAACAATAAAATACAATTCTACAAAGCACATTATAATAAATAACACATTTTGTGACATTATATTTCTACAAAATAACAAAAGCGGTACTGCGTGTTGTTTATATATGAAAAACCAAAACCAGACAATTTTATCTAGTACAGGGGCGGCTCTCCAGCTGTGCTTTAACTACAAATCCCATAATGCTTCTGATTCTGGGAGTCATGCCATTAACTGCCAGTCTTGCAAAGCATCATGGGACTTGTAGTTCCACAACAGCTGGAGAGCCAGAGTTGCCCACCCCGGATCTATTATGAATAACAAAAGTAATACTGGGTGGTGTTCGTATGGTAATGTTGTCAACATTTTTGAAACAGTAACCAAAGAAGCCAGCTGCACGTTTATCAGATTTTACACATAGGAACATATTAAGGGCCTATTTGCATCGTATCCTTTGGGCTGCCTTGGACAGCATGGCCCAACACCATTTGCCCTATGCGATATTGTTTCAGTTCACACCAATGTGCTGTGTTGGTAAGAAAGTAGGACATGTTGCATTTTTATGCAGCGTATTTTACAACACACTAGACCTCATCTCAGCATGCTGCGAAAACATAGAAACTATTAAAATGTCCTTTTGTGACATTTCAATAAAGTAAAAAAAAAGAAAAAAAAAAGGTAAACATTGCAACACATTATAACAATGCATTGCACAGTTTCTACACAACACATGCAAGCGCATTATACAGTACATAACGTGGGGTCGCTGGTGTAAATGGGCCCTAAGAGACTCTCTTGCAAAATACTGGTTACCTGGCAACTGTGCAGGAAGAAAGCCGGTCCGGTCTCTAGTGAATGAGGGGGATTGGTACTGTATATCATGCCTGGAGACGGGGAGGTAACAAAACAGGGTGACACTCTGTATTATCAGGTTAGTTGAGATGACTGCAAAGGACGGTCAGATTGCACCGTTGTCTAGGTCCATGGCCAGCCATGTGTTTACAGGTCACCCGTGGCAACCGAAGCAAAATTTAGAACGTAGGCCCAAAGGATCAAAGGATGGAGAAAAGCTTATCAATACTTGGTCATGAGCTGTAAGCTTATAGAGGAACTTAACCCAACAATTTAATGTCTCCCAAAACAGTTACTTTTTGCCAGCGTGATTATTTCATCTCTCAACCAAACTTTCAAGCCCTCAAATGGCTGGTGTCATAGATGATCACATGCGCAGCACCAGGGCAAATGCAATTCAAATAGAGGCCAATATGGCACCTTCTTGGCTGTACAGGAGAGAGGGTGTATTTTCGCTTTAACCCACTTTCTGTCTTTCCTTGTGATATCCATGTGTTGTGTGCCGAATGTGTGAGTGTGTGTGTGTGGGGGATGCTGGTGTTATGGCTTCTATAGCTCCCTTTTATTATAATGCATTGCTTGGACATGTAGTCCCGCATAGCTGGTGGTATTCTGCATTGTTGTATAATGATTATACAGCAATGCAGAAAAGCTCCAACTATGTAGGACTACAAGTCCCAGCAATGCATTATATTTTCAAGCAGGGATGCACCAGTGCAAATACTGGGCCTGATACTAAACTGGGCCTGATACCGGTGTTCTGTCGAGAACGCCGACGTACTCAAATTTGCCGACCTCAGCATCTGCGCTTGCGCACAGACCAGTATTATCAAGGAAACCGGGATTTATTCATAAAGTTTAAATCGTTAATTGTGACTGTTAATAATATTCCATCCATTATTCACTGCCAGGGACGGCATATTATTAACGGTCACAATTAACAGTTACAAATTAATGCTTTGTAAATAAATGCCGGTTTCCTCTTTAATCCCGTCTGTGCGTAAACGCAGATACTGGGTCGGCAGAAGTATCTGCCGGCACTACAATTTTAAACAAGCGGCTGTCTGAGGTCCCGCGCTTGCTGGGGACCTCGGCAGCATTCCTGTTAACCATGCAACCGCAGTTAGGGGCCTCCATGGCGGTTGGGGGGGGCCTTCATAGTTTCTTGCACCGGGGCCCTGAAGGTTCTAGTTACGCCTCTGGCTCCCGGACCCGGGAGAGAAACGTTTTCTCCCGGAAAAGTTTACTCTTTCCAGCATCTTTTTTTTTTGTACATCCGGGCCCCCGTCACTCCGGGTGGACAGAGGGCCCTTCCCTGAAATGAGAAGGGCCCCTCCCTGAAATTACTTTTTTCAGGTTGGGATCCCTGAGATGACCTCCTGCTGAACAGCAGATGGCATCCTTCTGACCTGCAGATGTTTTGCGGTAGTGGTCCTTTAACTCTCCAGCACCTACCAAGAATTGAAATACCATCCTTGGCTTGACTGACCCATGTCATGATGCTCCCTCTCCATTGGCTGGAAGTTGTCCGATTGTGTTGAACCAGTGCCCCCTCTGCCCCCTTACCCACTGCCCCCCGGGTCCTTATAGCCCTTCAATAGACTGACTCTATTGTAGACATATCTAAATGAACTACGATGCATACAGTAAAAGAATAAGAACCCGTTCTATGTCAGTGACACAGAAAATAGAAGAATTTAAAGAAACAGAAAATAACTCACACTTTTTTGTATTGTCTGTTTGGAAGTTGTTTGCGTTATCATCAGCCGTGTTAAGTTCTGCCACAGGAGCTATGCGAGGACTGTCCATGACCGTCTTATCTCTGCATTGCTGTGTGTGTGTGTGGTCGGGAGAGATATAAAATGCTGGCTACGTGATAGTAAACTTCTCCGAAAATTTAAAGGGAAACTATTATATATTTCAGCTACCAATGTTATACTTATCTTAAAGGCACAGTTTACATTTCATACCAATATTATTGTTACATCTATATTTAGGATATAACATGAAACATGGTATAAAACACCATCCCCGAACCCCAAGCAGAAGTCTCGGTTCTTAATGGTGTCTACATTTGGCAGGTGAATATCATGAATAAAAAATGTTAAATACAAATATATATAAATATATATCTTTTTTGTTGTTGCAATGGATGGTCTGGTGACAGGGTCGCTTTAATGAAATTGAAAAAAAAAGAGTACATTTGTGACAATTCCTTTAATTTAAAAAAATAAATAAAAATGGCTCCATCGATGTAATCCAGTGTAAATCACGATGCACGACGCCCACCGAAATAAAAAAAACTCCCCGCAAAATGACATTCCTGCCCGAAAGTAAACAGATGGGCTGAGCGAGCCGTGAGGTCACAGCTCGCTCCACTCATTTGACATTCTCAGCTGTCAAATACTACACAGCATTCGGGAACTTCCCAATGTCATTCGGGTCTGTGAGTGAGGCGAGTTTTCGTCGGGTTAGGACGGTCGTCGTGCGGCGGGACTTTTTTTATTTCGACGGGTCTGCGGGCGTCGTGCATCCTGATTGACGCTGGATTACATCGATGGAGCCATTTTTTTTTAATTAAAGGAATAGTCAAAAAATAGTCCATAAGGATTTTATCAAAAGTCTGGACTTTTTAATAACTATTTGATTTAACCCTTTAGTGAATGGATAGGGGTACAAGTACCCCTTACTCATTCACAAGGGGGGGGGGCGGCACCTGGGTGCCCCCTTAATCAAAGGGGAACACACATATAATATATATAAAAACCCAAGTGAATATTGTACAATACATAAGCTTTAATCTGCACAGTTCTTTGTAACATTTTTCATTTTCCTGCTTTAACTTATCACGCTCTGTCCTTATTTTATCATATTCAATTTCCAGGTGGTCATGTTCTTGTTTTAGCTGAGAAAATGGTATCCAGGTCTTTGACCTTTGCTGATTATTGTGTTTAGTTTTGTTCTGCACATTAGGATAATCAGGGCCGGTGCAAGGATTTTTTCCTACACAGGCGAAGTTGCATTTTTGCGCACGCCCTTAGACGGCTGCTTCAATTTTTTTTAAAAATAGGTTAGAAAAAAAAACATTTTTGGTTTCGGTTTCGGCCTGACATTTTATTTTTCATTTCGGTTTTGAAAGTTCCTTTTTGGTGCACCTCTATTTTTTTTCTTTTTTTAACTTTTTTATCACTTTCTTATTTTTTAATTTAATTTTTTTTAACTCATTTTACTAAATTTTTCTCAAATTTAATAAATTTTATTTTCAATTCCTCATTTTCTTCTGATAACTGATCACAACGTTTAGATTTCTCAATCAAAGCCTCTCCAATAGTAACTGCGTGCAATTTTAAATAAACATTATCAATTTCCGATTGTTTTTTTTATATCTCACGAGTCTTATCGCTTTCATCAAGTGCATTTTGGAATTTGACGATCCTTACCCCAGACAGAATTTTCTAAAGCTAAACAACAAGATAACAATCCCTGCGCAATACAACCTTTCCTTTTACTTTCAGAAATGTTGCTGTAGTGGAGTGCACCTTTATTCATATTCAGGTACAGGTCCCTTTAACTTAACTTCTCACAATCCTCTGGGCTCCCAGCATCCCCTGAGCGCCTGGACACGCCCAGGGGATATAAATGCCAGCTCCTCCCAACTTCCTGCGCTCAGAGAGACCGCGCCTGATGACCATTTGTCTAAGCCCCAGTCACTGGAGAGGACTCTGCTACAGTCCATTTGGAGAAGCTGTCCCTGCAGTGGGGTGGCCCTATCTACAGCCACCAGAACCTTCTGACCGAAGCCAGCAGCAGCAGCGCCAGTGTGAGGTCTGTGCCAGCAGGAGATCCACTCAGCTCACAGTTTGTTGAATGAACGATTACTATCTTGATAAAGAAGTAAATCACCAGCACTCAGCGATGTAGTTCAATATGTCCATTTATTGGACAAAGATGTCACAATAATCAAAGCCAACGTTTCGAGACCGCACAGGGTCTCTTCCTCAGGGCAAAAGGCGTGGCTTTGATTATTGTGACGTCTTTGTCCAATAAATGGACATATTGAACTACATCGCTGAGTGAGGGTGATTTACTTCTTTATCTTGTGTTTGCACGGTGCCATCCGTGATTGTCACTGCGAGAACCATCTCACTTATTGGCCAGGACTGCTGCAAGGTGTGCGGAGGGCTCCCCCATCGATCTACGATTACTATCTTGGACACTTGAGATTCTTCAGCTCTGTATTGTCTCAGTAAACAGAACTCAGAACACTCTGCTGCCATCTAATGGCCTCTAGTAGAACTGCTGTAGAAATATTTTTCATATGTTCTCTCAAGCCTGTTTTCCATATTGTTGATATTATTGGCTCTGTATTGCAATCCCCTGTTCATTTGATTGCCCTGTGCAATTTATGTTGATTTTCATTGTTAAGTAAAGTAGAAATTGCACATCACCACTGGTCTGATCATTTGGCTGATACAGTTACACAGCATTGCTATCAAAAACATTTTTCTCTAAACATTCTCTCATTAAGGTCCATGTCTGCCTACAATTTTCTGGGATTTCATATGGACCACCATGTCGCATAATACATTTTAACAACCATCTGTTAACTTACACCTTCCTCACACTAAGTAAGCATTTTTATCTATCTGTATATTATTAACCCCTTCATGACTGAGCTAGTTTTCCGTTTCTGTTTTTACATTTCTGCTGTGTGATTCTTCCACGGCAGTAATATACTTTCTTACTAAATGTACCCACACATATTATAGATTGTTTTTTAGAGGACAGATAGGACTATATAATTATAGCAAACGTGTGTACCTAACGCCTCAGTTAGTTCAAATAAAATATAAAAAAAGAGGAGGAAAAACGTAAAGAAAACACCTTTTTTCACATTATTTGATTATTATTATTTTTTAAATAATTTTTTAAATAATAATTATAGTATAAAAATATATTTATATATAATTTTTATTTTCCTAAATATTAAGCAGTCACTATGACTGCTTGATAAATTAACTTTTTTTAATTTTTGGTTATTATTAGGCTGCTTCAAACTTAGGAACAGCTAATATTAACCTTAGAGACTGATCCTGACAGCATGTCAGATTCAGATCTCACTAAGGCCCCATTCACACTAAGCGACACTTACCTCGAGCGGATGCGCACGGTCGGGATAGCGCGACTGTTTCGGGCGACGTTCCAGCAACGATCGCGCGACATTCCCCGTCGGGCTGCATGAAAAATCGCGTGACATCCGTGGGAATAAGGGTCCCACACAACCGACACGCGACAGTGACGAGCGACATGGAGCTGTTCAATAGAACAGCTCCATTGAATATCATTGGACGGCGACTTCTCGCGATATCGCGCGGCAAATTGTGGGCGATATCGCGTCGGGAAATAGCGCGATTAAACGCCAAGTGTGAATGGGCACTTTAAAGGAGAACTATGAGGTGAGTGCTTTTCACTCACCTCATAGTTCTAGCCGACCTGTGACAATGAGACTGTCACAGGTCGGCTCAGTAGATCGGGAGGTGAGCAAACACATACCGGCGTTCGCTCACCTCTCCTTCCTGTGTCGACTCTCTGCCGTGACAGGGGAGGGGCTGGATTCCCCCCTCCCCACTCCGCCAGCGCTGACTGGTGAATCAGACGGGGGAAGGGGCAGGTACAGCTGGCTCTGCCTCTAGAAAGGCAGAGCCAGCTGTCAGTCATGCAGCTGGGCAGATCCCGGCACAATTGTCGGGATCCGCTACAGCTGCAGCATCTCAGTATACCGCGAGCTACAGCTCGCGGTATATTGAGCCTAGGGTGACGGGAGGATGCTAGTTTGTGTCCTCCCGTTACCCTAAGGAGAACTATGGGGAAAAGACTTAACCCCATAGTTCTCCTTTAAGGTTTTTGATCCTGCTCAGACGATTAGAAGTGATACATTTCAGGCAGAGACATACATTATAACACTGTGCCTGAAATGTATCATAAACATCGGGCCAGTCTATCGAGCCATCAAAACGAATAGCGGAGAGGTGAGTCACTCTGCTGCCTCTCTGCTATTTTCAGCTGTCAAATACGGGAGCGCTATTTAGCAATCCAGTATTTGTATTTAACGGCTTCATAATTTCATTAATAAAAGAAAGAAGCTTTTTCAAAAGCTTAACTATTTCTTTAATGAATGCCTCAATACTGACCCATCCATTAAAGAATGGTAACCACTGAGAATAAGCGGTTACAAGCATTACAGAGCCGCAAATAACTGGTCACGTACAGTGTACGGGGCCAGTCATATAGGCACTTTGTGGCGGACAGACAGCGTACGTCTCCTATCAAGAAGGGGTTAATACTAATAAAAAGAAAATATTGCGTACTTACAGCATTTGAGGCTCATTCTTGATGTTGTATCTGTTGTGCACACTCCAGGTCTTCTGGTCCAAGACAGAGTGCTCTCATCAGTCTGCCAGTCTCCAGATTACAGTTCTGGGGTGTAGTTATAAAATAGTCGACGAAACAGAGTCACGGCAGAATAATAATAAAATAAAATAAAATAACGAAGATTCCCAGTGAGTACCGTTCTCTATACCATGTCTCTCTCCCTCTTTCTCTCTCCTTGATATACCCATTTTCCTCATTCACTAAAATGTGAAAGAAGCTGATTGGTTGACCATAGAAAAACTCTCCTTTGAAATGCTTTCAGCTGTCATTTGCCCTCTTGTTTCACACCTTTGCCCTCTTGTATTGTTTATATGTAATCACAA